TGATACATAGCATTGGAAGGTTAAACCTTATTCAGAAGAAACAGGCTCCACAGAAAGGATGAGATAGTGTATAAAATAGAGTCATAATCAGGCATGGAAATTCTGTTGAAAGAATCTTTGTAAGTGATACCATGGGAGTTTATTGCTGACACTTGGCAGGCCGAAGATGCAGTTAAAACTTTCTGTGTTAAATAACTAATCTTTGAAAGAGGCATGCAACAGTAATAATGAAAGAAATCCATTTCGCTGGCATCTGTCAAAACTATTGACAGAATAGTTTTCTATTCTCTTGGTGATAACTCCATGTGTCAGCAGGCAGTAGAAAAACAAAAGATATGGTATCTTGTCCCCAATCCTAACCAATAGGATGGAATTAATTGAAGAAGTGAAGGTGACTGAAACCTTGGTGGATAGTGTTGATGTTATTCTTGATTTTGTGATATTCTCTTAAGGAAGAACTAAGAAGAGGCAGATCTGCAAACTGGACTTCAGAAGATTTTAATGAATTAAAAATTCATTAAAATTACAGGAAAGTAGATTGGACTCAGTAGCTTCAAAGGCTTAAGGAGGAAAGTATCCATGAGGATTCAGAAATCCTTTGAGATGTTCACAGCATAATTGCAAACAATTCTTACAACAAGGAATGATGGAATTTAAAAGGAAGATATGGACACACAAAGGGCTTTCTAACAAGCTGAAGTGGGGAAAAAGCCAAACGAGTATAGGAAATAAAATAGGGAAAACAAAATCAAAGAAAAACACAAGGTTATGCCCAGAAACTGTAGGGACAGGGACAGAAGGTGTTAGTGCTGTGGCTTGAAAGATGTAACAAAAATAACAAAAGAAAAACCTATTTTGGGAGGGATACACTGGGAATTAAAAGAAAAACAAAGAAGATGCAGACCCATGGTGGGGTAAAAATAAGGAATGATGGTTGATGGTGAATTATAATGAGAATAGAACTTCTTAACTTAAGACTTTAACTCTGTAATGGTGCACTAGCTGCTTATTATAATATCAGTGGGAAAAAAGGGAACTGAAGCTTAGGAGAGATAAGGAAAGACAAGAGAACTTTAAATGAACTTAAGTTCATTTAAAAAGTCAACTTAAGTCTTTTTAAATGAACTTAAGTCTCCAGGACCAGATGAATTTCACTGTAAAGGCTTGTCCCATTGTTGTCCCATTCTGTTATGATGTCCATACACTTCTTAATAACGTTTAGACAAATGGAGTTAAATATGTTGAACAATTCTATGCATTAAAAATGGAATTTATTTCTGTGTGAAGAATGTGAATTTGTTGAATTTGGTACAGGGGTAACAAAGAAGATCATTCTGTTGTGATGGAAAGATAGTGCCACCCCCATCTTAAGAGTGCTTGATAGATCATGTCTTTTGCTCTCTGCTTATAAATTGTTTTTGACGTAATGGAAATACTGACCAATATTATTTTAAGTGGTTAAGATAGAACGCTATCTTTCATAGTTCATAGTTTTAAATTTCTAGGAACTCATATTTCCGACAACCTTACTTGGTCAGTCCACACTATGGCCACTGCAAAGAAGGCCCAACAGCGCCTGCACTTTCTGAGGTTGCTGAAAAAGAGTGGTCTGGGTGAGAAGTTGCTGGTTACTTTTTACCAGTCTACCACCGAGAGCATTTTGGCATACTGTGTAACGGTGTGGTATGCGAGATGCTCTGCAGTGGATAAGAAGATGCTCCAGAGAGTTATAAACGCAGCACAAAAAATCATCGGTTGCTCTCTTTCTTCTTTGGAAGAGATTGCGAAGTCCAGACTCCTCTCTAGAGCACTAAAAAATCTCCATAGACCGTTCTCATCCTGGATGTTCATATTTCGAACTGTTACCATTAGGGAGGCGTGATAGGTGTCTTAAAATGAGGACTAATAGATTGAGAAACAGTTTCGTTTCCAAGGCAGTAATTGTCTTGAATCAAACAGTGCATTTGTGATTTAGTCCTATTATTATTATAATTATTTTAATTTTTAAATACTCTGTAGTGTGATTGTGATGTGGTGTTTGGGGCACTGTGCTGGAGTAGCTTTCAAATTTCATTGTATTCGTAGGAATGCAATGACAATAAAAGTATTCTATTCTATTCTATTCTATTCAAACTTATAATACATTTGGTAATCAGTTATTTTTTTCCTTTCTCTTTCTGTTGGCTGCTGCTTTTCCAATATAACTTTTTCAAAGCATGAACATT